ATATTTTCTTTCTTTATGTCTGTCAATTTGTCGGTTTGCCTCTCTGTCTTTTTTTCTTAGCTGATCTTTCTTTACGAATCTTTCCTTTCCTTTTCTTTCTTTCTTTTTTCTTTGCTTCTTTCTTTTCTTTCTTTCTTTGATAATATTTTCTTTCTTTCTGTCAGTTTGTCTGTCTGTCTGTCTTTCTTCGCTGATCTTTCTTTGCTAATTTTGCTTTATGAATATTTTCTTGACGAATGTTTCTTTCTTTAATTCCTAACATTTTCTTTCTTTCTTTCTTTCTTTCTTTCTTTCTCGTATTTAATCTTTACTTTTATTTCTTTTCAACAATTTTAAATACTGTTACAGGTAACTCTTATACCTTTACTTAGATTTCTTCCGTTTCTATTTAATTTTTCTTTCTTTTTTCTTCGCAGATCTTTCTTTCTTTCTTTCTTTCTTTCTTTCTTTCTTTCTTTCTTTCTTTCTTTTCACCATATTTTCGTTTTTCTTGATACGCTCAGATTGCGCTGAAAAAAAAAAACTAAAAAAACGTGTTCGCTCTCTGATGTTAAGGAGTGTCGGGTGCAGTCAGTAATTAGATGGGGGACCGTTTCAGAACATTGGGTAATGTAATGAACCTCCTCCATTCTGAAATATATTTCGGCTTTAAATAGCCCACAACGAGGTGATAAGCCGTAAATTACAGAAGTCAAACAAGCCTTCCTACCTTTTTACCCCTTAATTATTTTCTCTGTTCGTTCGTTCTTTATTTTTCGACTGATTGATATTTATTTACTTACGAGCAGCATGGCCTGGCGTTGCCCGTGCTTGATTCAAAAATCGTACGACTCATACATCAATCGCTATCACTTGACTTAAAATATTTTTGCCCTTCCTTGCCTTTAAAGGAGTGCCCTTTGCCGTGCTGATGTTGCTACATGCCTTACTTCTTGCCTATCTCATACTGCGATTTTTTTCTAAGCTCTATACTAAACATTAAATCTGTTACGAAAAAAGAACTAAACAAAATGAACACAAAACGATCAGCTTTAAAAAAGGGCCCGTAACTGGAAAAACCGAATGAAAACAAGAATGTTAACAACAAATACTTTTTCACACCCAACCCAGTTCTGCGGAATCAGAATCAACGTTGAGTTTAAGCAATCAATAAGCCAATTGGAGTAAAGTGCCATGCAGATTTAAATTTTTCCCACTTGTGACGAATGCAGCTATCGATTTTTTTTTCATGCTAGCATGGTAGTTAACATTCGTGTCAGTCAGCTGTTGGCTCTCACGCTGGCCAATAGAATCTTCCTGCCTATTCTTGGCAGCCAGCTATAGGCTGTCACTCTGGCCAGTAGAAAATGTCCGCAAACTACATGAAAACTGCCGTAGAAACATGAAAAAATCGATTATTTCCACAATCGATGGGAGTTGGGAAATGCAAAGTCGGTCTTGGCCTTGCCACTAACTTGGAGCATGTGCATGTAAGTTTTGGTGCAAATCCGTCGAAAATTGCGGCCGTACATTCGTTACACACACACACACACACACACACACACACACACACACACACACACACACACACACACACACATCCTGCCTTTTATAGATAGAGATCTTTGGAAATCAATTGCAACAATCCCCTCCCCCCATTTGAAAACCTGAATCCAAGACGCCGATTTTGACCTGAGCCGGAACATCGAGTATTTTTCCCAGCTGGAAATTCTTTACGATTCCAACCATAAGACAAGTCGGTGTCTTTTGTCTGTTTCTTTTTTAAAGAGATTGTTGCGTATTTCCTACTGTTCGTCTACTACAATCATGGGGTAACTTCGGCCGGCAAGCTACATGCGCGTCCGTTTGGTATTTCTGAATGGCACGTTTAATTTCATCAGGAAAATAACGTTTATTTAAATGATTGTTTTGTTTCGTTCTCACTTATTCACTCACAGACTCTTTCATACCTAACCAAAGACAGAAACTGTAGTTAAAAAAAAAAAAATGATCTCATTGGCGTCTGTACGTAAGAAGAGTCTCCTGTAGAAGCTATATATTGTTTTTTAAGCTGGCAAAAAAAAAATTAACGTACAATCACGGCGTTCATAAGACGTGAGTTCAGAAAAAAGATGGAGTGTACGAAAGACGGTGAGAGAAGAGTAAGTTAGTCTACAAACAGAAAAACAATACGGCAAATACAACATCTACTTTTTGTCACTCAGAATTAACGTCTACTAAGGAATTTTAAGACAGTCTCTCGAATTTAAACTACAGAATAAACGATTAAATACAATGTTACTTTAATTTTGTAAACTTTCGGTGAAAATAACGTTTTCGTAATTTTAAACCATTGGAGATTTTCACTAAGGAAGATCATACGTGTAAATATATTTTGATTTTGAAATAAGAAGTATTCATAAAGATTCCAGTATTGAAAATCTGTACTTCATCCGGCGTTTCAAAAAAATGATTTTAATTGATTTTAAAATGTTTAATTGATATTGAGTTTAAAGTAACACATAATCCTTGTGAAAAAATGTTTTAAATTCAATTTAAAATATTAGAGAAGTGAGGAAATCAATTTTATTTCTTCCAAAGGCCAAGGAATTTAATTAATTAGATTAATGGAGATCAAGATTTATTCAATAGTCATTAAATCTAATTTAAATGACTATTAAATATTAAATAGTCATTAAATTCCTTGATCAAATTAATGGAGATCAAGATTAACAGGATGTGAGGAATGAAGACTGAGATTGTACCAATAGTAATCGGGGCTCTGGGCCACGTGAGAAAAGAAATGGACAATTTTACTAACAGTGTCCGAGGTAACATTAACATACAAGTTGGCCAGAAGATCGCCCTACTAGGAATATCCCATTTACTAAGAAAAGTGCTATCAAGTAAATGACACTTTTCCCATAGGGCCTAAGGACCATAGTTTGCAACCGGCTCTACAGGATACAAAGCAAGAAACGTCAGATGCACAAATAATAATAATAATAATGTTAATAATAATAATAATAATTTTTTTTTTTTTTGTCAGTGGAAAGTGTCATGACGCCATTTCTAACCTTAGGTCCCTAAGGGACCCGGAAGAAATATAAACGCCAAATCAAAGAAAATAATAATAATAATAATAATAATAATAATAATAATAATAATGTGGACCAACAGAAAACACATCAGTGGCTGAGAAGTACCGGGCTGAAAGTTGAGACAGAAGGCCTAATTATTACGGCTCAGGACCAAAGCCTCGCAACCAGATACTATCACTGTCATATAATCAAGGATGGAACTAACTCGAAATGCAGGATCTACGGAAAATATGATGAAACTGTCGACCATATTATAGCAGGATGTCCGGAACTGGCAAAAAAATGAATATACCCACAGACATAAAAAGGTAGCGACATATCTCCACTGGAAGATATGCATGAAGCACAAAATCGAAAACACTGAGAGATGGTATGACCACCAACCAGACACAATTACGGAGAATAACGATGTAACTATCCTCTGGGACATGCCAATTCAAACTGTCAGGGAAATAAAAGCCAACAGACCTGATATTATCATAAAAGACAAGAAATTCAGGAAGTGTATACTTATTGACATAACAGTACAATCTGAGAGAAACACCGCCATAAAAATTATCGAGAAATTGTCCAAATACAAAGGACCTGGAGATCGAGATTAACAGGATTTGGGGAATGAAGACTGAGATTGTACCAATAGTAATCGGAGCTCTGGGTCCCGTGAGTAAAAGAATGGACAATTTTACTAACAGTGTCCCAGGTAACATCAACATACAAGTTGGCCAGAAGATCACCCTACTATGAAGATCCCATCTACTAAGAAAAGTGCTATCAATTAAATGACACTTTTCCTATAGGGCCTAAGGATCATAGTTTGCAACCGGCTCTACAGGATACAAAGCAGCAAACATCACATGCACAAATAATAATAATAATAATAATAATAATAATAATATTAGTTGGACCATAGATAGTCTTTAGATGTATGTATGAAATCTAATCAATTTAAATTTAAATTTAAAAATGGACATCTAATCAATTAAATCTAATTTAATGACTATTTAATATTTAAATCTAATTTATTCTTGATGTCCATTGCTTGATGTCCATTAATTTAATTAATAATTAAATTTTAAAATAACTGAAAAAAATTGATTTTAATTGATTTTAAAATGTTTAATTGATATTGAGTTTAAAGTAACACCATCTTTGTGAAAAAATGTTTTAAATTCAATTTAAAATATTAATGAACTAAATATTTAATAATATTTAATAATATTTAAATATTAGAGAACTGAGGAAATCAATTTTATTTCTTCCAAATGCCAAGGCATCAGAGTTAGAATTCGAGGTTCTGTGACGTGAGGTTTTGAATTTCTGCAGAGTTTGTGATTTGAAGTACTCAACTCATTTGAAGTTTCACGGAATTTGTGATTTGAAGAACTTAATTTTCGGCCTGAATTGGAATTTCAACCCAAATCGGAGTCTCGGTCCAAACCTGTCTTTTAAACGGAACTTGACTTATAGCCTGAATCAGAGTGGAAGTGAGGTTTTGGATGTTTCATGTAGTGAATTGAGGATTTCAAATTTATTTCTTTGAAATTATCATTGCTGTTTTCTAAGCTGGATTAGAGGCCCGTTTAATCTCTGGGCAGAGATATAATTAGCCCTCCACAGGAGCTCCCTTAAAAGTCTGCACGTAGTGTGGTTTTAAGCTAGTTTGAAATAAATCACATGCAACGATATGTATTAATCACACAGTCATCAGTGATAATATTCGCAGGCTTCAGTTTTTTTTTAAATTATAAAAGTTTTTTTCTCTCCAAATATATAAACAAATAAAATTTTGCTCCATTTCTAAGGTATATGCTGACGTATAATGTCTTCTGTAGTGAAAATAGCTGAGATACCTTCTACGAATATCTACCTATAATCTCCTGTGGTGAGCTAGAGATCACGCAGCTCACTGTTCTAAAAAAGATGGCCATGTCTGCTGTGACATATTGTCTTTTTTTGTCTTCTTTCCGCCATATTTCATCCCGCTTTCATTCTCTGCAACTAATCAGCTTTTTCAACATTTCTTTTTCTTTCAGTTTCTTCCTTTCTTTTTCCTTCGTTGTTTGCTTATTAGGTTCTTTTTTCTCCTTTTCTTTCTTTCTCCGTTTTTATGGTCCTTCTTTTTCATTTCCTCTTTCTATCTTCCTTTATTGCGTTTTCTTTTTCTCCAGTCATTTTCGTTCTCATGCGCAAAGCCTCTTTCTTTTCCCTTCATTTTTCCTTCATTGCGATTACACTTTCTTCTTTTTCTTTCTATTTTTGCTACATTTTCTTTCTTTCTCTCTTTATTTTCTTTCTTTTTTTTTACGATTTTTCTTTCCTTTATACTCTTTCTCATTAATTTTTCTCTTTTTTTTCTTTTCGTTATCAATGATTTTCGCTTTTCTTATTTTTTTCTCATTGGTGATTCCTCTTTCTCAAGTCTCCTTTAAACTTTTTGTTTCTTTTCCCTTTTTCTTGTTTTTTACGTCGCCTTTCCTCCATTTTCTTTCTTTCTTTCTTTCTTTCTTTCTTTTTCTTTCTTTCTTTCTTTCAGTTAATCTTTCTTCTTTTTTGCTTCATTTTATGTTTTTCTTTCTTTATTTATTGCGATCAATATTTTTTCTTCTTTGGCTTCATTTACCTTTTTTTCTTTCTTTGGCTTCATTTACCTTTTTTCTTTGTTGCTTTCTTTTTTTTCGATTAATTCTTTTGCTTTTTGGCTCCATTTTCCTTTCTTTCTTTCTTTCTTTCTTTCTTTCTTTCTTTCGATTAATCTTTTCTCTTTTTTCTCCATTTTCTTTCTCTCTTTTTTCTTGATTGTGATTAATCTTTCTTCTTTCTTTTTTGTTTCATTTTGTTTGTCTCTTTCTTTCTTTTAATTAATCTTTCTTTTTTTGCTTCATTATATGTCTTTCTTTCTTTATTGCGATCAATATTTCTTCTTCTTTGGCTTCATTTTCTTTTTTCTTTCTTTCTTTCGATTAATCTTTTTTCTTTTTTGCTTTTGCCACATTTTCATTCTTTCTTTTTTCTCGATTTTGATTAATCTTTCTTCTTTCTTTTTTGCTTCATTTTGTTTGTCTCTTTCTTTCTTTCTTTCTTTCTTTCTTTCTTGCAATTAATCTTTCTTCTTTTTTGCTTCATTTTATGTTTTTGTTTCTTTATTGCGATTAACATTTCTTCTTCTTTGGTTCCACATTCTTTCTTTCTTTATTTCTTTTTTCTTTCTTTCTTTCTTTTCTCCATTTTGTCTGTTTGTTTCTTCTTCATACTCCTGTTGTTCCCTTTTTTCTTTTCTTTCTTTCTTTTATTTTTCAAATGTAATTAAATTTTTCTTTTATACCTCGTTCAATATAAATACAATTTTCACCATTAAATTTATTGAACTCCATAATTGCCACGCTGTTCCATTACCATCTCTCATCATTCAGACAACTTGATAATTCCTTCGTCCTAGAAATGTTCATTTTCCTTATTAAGCAAATGAACGAGATGCTTTTTACAGTCTTCCAGGGAATTAGATTTTCTTTTTTAATTAGGAAAACTCCGGAATAATTAGTAATCTAAGGGCAAAATATTTGGTGAATTCGATGGATGCGTGAAAATTTTACAGCCAAGTTGTAATAATTTCGACACATCGGCATACACTTTGTATTCCATTGGTTAGGAAAAAGCTCCAAACAGACAGTTTCTTTCCTTGTACTGTTGCATTGAGAAACAGACTGTCGAAAGGATGCTTCACCGGTCTTCATGTCTAGGGTGAAGCCGTTGTCTATCCCCCATGTCCTCTTAACATGTACCTTCTATTTCATTCATCTAAGCTCTTGCAACAACCTCATTTAGTAACGATCTACCTTGAGTGGCTCTTGGGCTTTGTATTGGGTGAACAATAGTATAAAATACTCGGGATCGATCAGTATCCTGATAAAATGTCACATCTTTTCTCTTTATTAATTAAATACACTTATTTTCGACTGTTCTTTAATTTTGTCTGATCGGGAACAGTACTCGTTCAAATCAATCGTTTAATGTTCCAGCACAATCTTAAAAATATAAGATACACAGACGACACAGTACTGACAGCAGACACAGAAAAGAAATTACAAAACCTCCTACAGAAGGTAGCAAAGAAGAGCATGAAGAAGGGACTAAGCATAAACTACAAGAAGACAGAATGCATGGCCACCAGTAAAAGGATGAGCCCGAAATGCAAGTTACAGGTCGGGGACACTAAAATCAAACATGTGCGGAAGTTTAAATATCTGGGAAGCGTTTTGACAGAAGACGAGAAATGCGACGCTGAGATCCGGAGACGTGTTGGGATTGCCAAGAATGCATTTCAAAAGCTGAGCAGAGTACTAGACAGGAAGATTTCTTTGGTAACAAAGAAAAGAGTACTGAGCTGTTATGTGACATCTGTCCTCATTTACGGCAGCGAATGTTGGACGATCTCCTCAAAGACTCGAGTCGACGGAGATGTGGTTCTACAGAAAAATGCTGAGGATATGGACCGAGCGTGTGAGCAACGATAACCTCTTGAAGAGGATGCAAACAAGGAGGAGGCTTATACTTAACATTAGGAAGAAGCAGCTCAAGTTTCTGGGACACTTAATTTTATGGGAACTTACCTATATATCGATAATAGACTCTTCCTGACACTATAAATACTGCGCCTCTCAAGAGGTATAATGAATGAATGGTGTAACGAGCACCAGGTCATGACTGTTGAACTCTCTGCTTTATAGAGAGGAACCCAGACAAAGCTTTGCCGAAGGGCAAGGTTTCGTCCGGGGAGGTGGATGGCCCTGAACCCGTCTAGGCGGGTTCAAAGGGATAGGCCGAGCCCTACGGGCTCATAAAACCCAACCTTAAACTCATTGTGTCACATGCAACTCTCGTGGTGGGTGGCTAGATACCGAATGAATGGTGTAACGAGTCGAGACAATATTAGTTCACTCTAAACCAGACGGACAGTCATTACTAACACCTTCAACTTCTTGTACTATATTTCTGTTGTAATATATCTTTGTTATTCTACTCTTGTGTTCTTGTTGTCCTTCCTTGGTTCTAACCTTGGACCATAACTGTGGTGCGATGATATTGGACATTAACACTTAATGAGAAAGGAGGGCCTAGAGAATCTGATACTCACAGGTCGAATAAAGGGAAAGAGAGACAAGGGAAACCAACGCATGACTTAACTGGCGGGCTTGAGCAAGTGAATGACAGTATATTGTCTGGGGTGGTGACAAAGGGACGAAACTTATTGAGAGCTACAAGGGATAGGGAGAAGTGGAGAGCTATGATCGCCTATATCCTGACACGTCGCATAAAAAAGGACACATCACATAAAAATATAAATGCTAATATATACATTGCATCACGAAAACTGTGGCGTCTTCCATTTTATTAGTTTCAGGATGTTTTGCATTTCACTCTAACACTCAGTAACCTCTTGCGTCTTAGTGGCTTAATTGCCTTGTTTGGGGTGAAATTATTCAAAAAATAACGTTACTAAAAATATTCTCTAAGCTGAAAGCTTCACAGCATTTTCCAAGAACAGCTACTTCGTGGAACAATGGACTCGCGTGGATAATCCTCTTAACACAAGAATGTTAACCTTTTCATGTCAAGGGTCAATTATTATCTACCCTCCTAATCTTCACTTCCTACCTCTTTTATTCATATAGTGCACCATATGTGTCATAACCATTCTAACAGTAATCCTCTACCTTGAGTGATTCTCAAGCCTTTTACTGAGAGAATTTTAGCATAAAGAATAACAATTTCTCTGAAAAAGAGGAACTTTAAATGCCCTTCCGAAGAAGTTTATTTTACTAATATGGAAGATGCATTTTCAAAGCTGCTTATATAACTAAACCGAGTTTGAATCTATCTAACGATTTCCTGATTAAATTTCAACTTATCAGACTGATCGTGGAGTATTGTTTTGCGAGTTATTCCCAGCACAAAACATTGCAAACCACTTTAGACATGTTTGACCATACACAGAATCTTCTTCATTAAGTGAATCATCCTGGGTAAGACGATAAACTACGTCCAGCAGCAAGGTCATTGATCAGGAGGTTCTGAGGAACGTGGAACCACCTCTTAATTGCTGATATTCTCAGCTATGGGCAAATAGTTAACTATTACCAGCCACACTTTTTGAAAAAAAATTATTACCAGCAATACCATTTTGAAGAAAATTACCAGAAACAGATTTTTGACAAAACAAAATATTACAAGCAATAAAAAAATGTTGTCAGCATTAAATAACCCAATGAAGTTGATATGCCGTAAAACAAATTAAACCAAACCAATTTAAACCAAAGAATACATATTCTATTCATACAAATTTATCCTAAAAATGTTGTCGGCATTAAATAACCCATTGAGGTTGATATGCCGTAAAACAAAATAAACCAAACCAATCTAAACCAAAGAATACATATTCTATTCATACGAATCTATCCTAAAATGTTGTCAGCATTAAATAACCATTGAGGTTGATATGCCGTAAAACAAATGAACCAAACCAATCTCAACCAAAGAATACATATTCTATTCATACGAATCTATCCTAAAATGTTGTCGGCATTAAATAACCCATTGAGGTTGATATGCCGTAAAACAAAATAAACCAAACCAATCTAAACCAAAGAATACATATTCTATTCATACGAATCTATCCTAAAAAATGTTGTCAGCATTAAATAACCCATTGAGGTTGATATGCCGTAAAACAAAATAAACCAAACCAATCTAAACCAAAGAATACATATTCTATTCATACGAATCTATCCTAAAAATGTTGTCGGCATTAAATAACCCATTGAGGTTGATATGTCGTAAAAACAAATAAACCAAACCAATCTAAACCAAAGAATACATATTCTATTCATACGAATCTATCCTAAAAATGTTGTCAGCATTAAATAACCCATTGAGGTTGATATGCCCGTAAAAACAAAATAAAACCAAACCAATCTAAACCAAAGAATACATATTCTATTCATACGAATCTATCCTAAAAATGTTGTCAGCATTAAATAACCCATTGAGGTTGATATGCCAAAAACAAAATAAACCAAACCAATCTAAACCAAAGAATACATATTCTATTCATACGAATCTATCCTAAAATGTTGTCAGCATTAAATAACCCATTGAGGTTGATATGCCGTAAAACAAAATAAACCAAACCAATCTAAAACCAAAGAATACATATTCTATTCATACGAATCTATCCTAAAAATGTTGTCAGCATTAAATAACCCATTGAGGTTGATATGCCGTAAAACAAAATAAACCAAACCAATCTAAACCAAAGAATACATATTCTATTCATACGAATCTATCCTAAAAATGTTGTCAGCATTAAATAACCCATTGAGGTTGATATGCCGTAAAACAAAATGAACCAAATCAATCTAAACCAAAGAATACATATATTCATACGAATCTATCCTAAAAATGTTGTCGGCATTAAATGACCCATTGTGGTTGATATACGGTAAAACAAAATAGACCAAGCCTAAACCATAAAGTGAACAAAAATCTTACTCTCTGTTGAAGATTTCATAGATTGTTCTGTAACTAACTGTTGCTATTATTATAGGTTGATTAGTTAGAGTTAGAATAGGCTGCGCTAGGCTTAGTTTCTCTCTACACCACAAGTTGCTACAAAACCAAAACGTTATGTTACTCGAAGAGAAAATACTGACATAATGAAGATGTTGAAGTACCATCATAAAATCTTATGAAGGGAACCCCTGTCAATACTGGTAAGAGCAATAACAGTTCCATTCAGAATG